ATCTTGATTGTAGTAGTGAATGCAAAAATGTACACATCAGAAAATTGCATAGGAGTAAATAAATACCCACACCAACGAGTACAAGTACAACTGGGGAAATCTGAATAAAAACAATGGATGGTATCAATGTCAGTATACTGGTTGTGATATTATACTGAAGTTTCAAAGGTGTTACCATTGGGAAAACTGGGTAAAGGATCTCTATTATTTTATTATATCTGCATATAAATCTATAATGATCTCAATAAAACTTTTAATTAAAAATAAATACCCAGCACCCAACATGGTAAAATGTACAATGCCTAGCATTCAATAAAAATTATAAGGTATGCAAAGAAGTAAGAAAATAAGACCTACTGTAAGGGGAATAAAATAGACCCAGAAATGACAAATGATAGAATTAGTAGACAAGAGCATTGAAACAGCTGAAGAAGGTAGAGAAGAGATTGTATATTTTAAATAAAGATATGGAAAACATTAATAAGACAAAATGTCAGCTTCCATAAGAAAAATATGTATCTGTGATGAAAAAGACACTGGATGGGTTTAACAGATTCGATGTTGCAGAAGAAAAGACTCACAGACTTCAAGAGAGATCAACAAAGACAATCCAAAATGAAAAAAAAATGGGAACCTCTGCCCCCATGAGCTGTGAGACGACTTGTAATTGTGAGTCCCCAAAGAAGCAGGGGATAAAGAAATATTTGACAAAATAATAACAGAAAAATTTCCAAGTTGATAAACACTATAATCCCACAGATCTAAAAAGGTCAACAAACCCAAAGCATGAGAACATGAAGAAAACTATGCCAAATCACATCATAATAAAATTTGCTTAACATCAGAGAAAGAGCAAAATATTAAAAGCAGGCAGGAAATAAAGACGCTTAACATATAGAGGAACAAAGATAAGGGTGACAGCAGATTTCTCATTGCAGATAATGCAAACAAGAAAATAGTGGAGAAATATACTTAAGCACTGAAAGAAAAAACTCAAGCTAGGATTCTAGGTCTAGGGAAAGGACCAAAGATGAAGGCAAAATAAAGCCTTCTTACGTATGTACAAAAGCTGAAAGAAGTCATGCCAGCAGACTAGCAATAAAGAAATTTCAAATGAAGTCCTCAAGCAGAAGAAACGATACCAAAAGGAAATGTGGAACCGTATCAGGGTTTCTCAACCTTGGCACTACTGACATTTTGGGCCAGTAACTTGTGAAGGGCTGTCCTGCGCAACGCAGGATGTTGAGGAGCATAAACGGCTTCTACCCACTACAACCCAGAAGCACCACCCTCCGGTTGAGACAACCGAAATTCTCTCCAGACATCACCAATGTCTCCTGGGAGGAAAAATCACCCCTGGCTGAGAATCACTGTATTAGATGAATGAGCCTTTTCTTTCATATTTTCCTTCTCTATCCTTTTGAGCTATAATCTGAAAGAATTCCTAGGGTCAGGCATTTAGTTCACTAATTCACTACTCAGATATGCCTATTCTGCTATTCAGCCCATCTATTTGAGGGATATTTTAAAAAATACAGATCTTATTTTGGGGGGCATGGTTAAGCCACTTTATCGAGGGGAGTTGGGGACAGGAACAAAAAAGGGTGTAGAACAATGAGATCTGACGTCTTCGGCCGGGCCGGGACCTCCCAGCCTTTGTAGACACGGAAAAGCCAGACCTTATTTTTAAGAGCCATTTTAGGTTCACATCAAAATTGAGCAGTTGCCGTTTATCCTCTGCCTGTACACATGCACAAGCCCCCCCATTGTCAACATCCACAGTGGTACATTGTTACAATCGATTAACCTACATTGACACGTCATTATCACCCCTAGTCCACAATTTACACTAGGGTTCACTCTTGGTGTTGTAGGCTCTGTAAGTTTTACAAATATGTGACACGGATCTACCGTCACACAAAATAGTTTCACTGCCCTAAGAATTCTCTGTGCTCTGCCTATTCATCCTTCCCTTCCTCCAACCCCTGAAAACTCTGGTTTTTAAACTTCGATTATTACAATTTTAATGTCCAATATCTTTTTTTCATTGTTTTTGTCCTTGTTTCATAACTGCCCACTTTTTCCATATGATATCCATTTATCTTCCTGCAGATCTTTCTCTACTGGAGATTAACTCCAGTAGCTCTATTAACTTTCTCCCTTAGGTGTGAGTTCTATTTGTTGCCTGTGCTATCTTCACAGAGATAGCATTCCTCAAATGTTTGGTCATTATCGGGCACTTGTCTTTGTAATAAGAGACATCCTGTTAGGTCATCTGTTGCACGTCTGACCAGCCCACTGGGAATGGTGGAAGCTGCTACTGCATGTTGCACCACACACACTGTTTCAGTTGGGCTACCTCAGCAGTTGGTCTTCTTTCTGGTATCACCAGCCATGGGGAACATCATCTTGTCTCTCTGACTCCACCACTACACTCACTATATCCACCTGGAAACACAAGCCTTATTGCTGCCTAATTGGCCCAAGGAGGCTTGAGGAATCACCTCCTCAGTTGTCCCTGGGCTCCCTCCAGCTCCCTTCTTGACAGCCTTGCAAACAGATTTAGAGAATGAAATCTCCCCCTACCTGTCAACTTCCCCCCAACCTTTGCTCTTAACCCCATCCCTTCTCGTCTTCTCCAGCACTTTGGCTCTTCTTTCTTCTGTCTTCAGTTTCCTTCTGTTAACTACCTCCATTCAGCCTATAAACATGTTAAGTCTCTACTTGCCCTTAATCTTGTATGGCTTTTAGCACCTCCTTTCTGGACTTTTTCAAAAGAGTTGACTGCATTCTCCATCCTTATCTCCTCACTGCTCTCCTGAGATTTCCCTTGCTAAATTCATCAGTGCCGCCTAATTGTTACATACAACAGACACTTCTCAGATTCCCTCTCAGCGGCACTTTACACTATTATCTGTACTCTTGGCTTCTCTGGCATTTCCTAATTCCCTTTCCTACTCTTGACTGCCCTTAGGCTCCTGTGCATCCAACCACTTCTTAAATGTTGGTGTACCCTTTGCTACTGGCTGCATTTGGCAAGAAATGAGATCAGTTTGCAGGCACGAATGAAAGGAAATGAGTCCAGAAATGTGCAGATTTGCTGTGCTGGAAATGTCAAGTTCTTCTGGACCCCAATAGGGGATAAAATTGAGAAAGTCTGTGAAAAACCAATTAAAATTCAACCTCTTGGCAAAGCATGCCTTAATTCAAATTCTGGCTCCTCCACTACTTATGTGAACTTCAGCAAGATACTTTAACTTTTCTGTACCTCAGTTTCCTCATATATAAAATGGGGAACCACAGTACCTACCTGATAGGGTAGTTATCGAGATTAAATTAGTGAATACATGAAAAATACTTAGAACAGTGTCTGGCACATGTTCAGAGCTCTAAGTTAAAAATAGTTATGGAGGAGGGCAGTCTTTGAGATGCTAGTCCACTGCCCTTTTCATTTGCCAGCAAATTAATAAATTTTTTTCCTTTTCCTAGAAAAAACAAACTGTTACTATGCCAGAAAAG